TTCTCCTTTTTTTTTTTTTTTTTTTTTTAAAGCTACTACCAAGTTTCTTGGTTCCTCATACATTATTGGAAGTCCATGGGAAGCGTAGTCAAGTGATCCACTGAACAACCTGTCTTTGAGCCTTTCTCTGGGAAGTTGATCCTCAAGATTTTCAACTCAGCTATTAAATGTGGGAGAGGGACATTTTCTGAAAAGTTGATCATGAGATGTAAATGAATTCAAGGCACAACAATGAGAGCCCCGAATTGGTCTTGAGATAATGGCGACTTTTTAAAAAAGTGGTTCATAACCTCACAAGTTCTTGTTAATGAAAAATCTCCCATCTTTCCATTCCCTACATTTCTTTCTGGTTCAGGTGGTTCTTGTGATGTGGATGGTGCAAAAAGCTTTTGTCATTCAGTGAGGCCACCAAAAGACGTCAAATTGAGAGGAACACGAAAGCCAACAATTGAGATCCTTGAACCACAAAATTTATCTTTAACAAAATGAAAAAAACCTTTTGCAAATACAAAATTAAAAAAATAAAATAAAATATAAAGGAAAAGAAAAACAACAGTTGCAATAGAAAATAACAGAGAATGAAAAATGCCATGTCTCCTCCATCAATACGTCAGATAACATGGTCTACGGCTCTATGAAGAGATTTTTTTTTCTTTTATTTTCTTTGCCCAATTTTTTTTTGACCTTTTCATAGTCTATAATTCTTTATTGTCATTGTGCATCATCCACCCTCTACAAGTGACAATGAAAAAAAAAAAAAAAGGGTACATAGATCACATGCCATGCCTTCTCTATTGGAATATATGGGATGGTCTGTGCGTGAAAGTTTTTTTTTTTTAATAACTTTTATAGAGTAGGTGACGATTTAATCCATAATTAAATCATAATGTTTATTGTTTTTATGCAATATTCACTCCCCATATGAGTTATAATTTTTTTGTTGTTACGTAAGTTCCACTCTCTCCAAGTCCAAAGGTCAACCTATTTTGTATTAGCAATAATTTGAAGGAAAAAAATGGAATAAAATAAAGTTCCACGCATAATATATATATATATATATATATATATTTCATATTGACAATAATAGTTTCCTCTTAAGAAGAGAGATGACGAAAAAAACAAAAAAAGAAAGAAAGAAAAATATATGGAATAAAATAAAATTCCACGCATAATAATATATATTTTTCATATTGATTAAGAAGAAACATGATGAAAAAAGAAAAAAGAAAGAAAGGAAAAAGCCACCACAAGAATGTAAGCCTCGTTGAGTCAGTCCAAAGGACCAAGTGAATATCTGTGCAAGTCGGCCATGATCCTTCGGGCTTAGGAGTCCATGGGCTCCAAGCACGTCTCAGCCTGTTCACCATGAAGGTGGACGGACTCCTCAAGCCATCGGAGTACACCTGCTTCCAGGTCCGCATCTTTGCGGTTATGGACCTGGGGACTTTCCTGGGCCGGAATTCTACGTTATGCAGAATCACGGCCCGCTCACCTCATCTTGTGGCGTGGTGACCGTGCAAAGAACGGCTATACACTTGAATACCAATGACAACACCAATGCGTACTAAACCAAAGAGGATTAACGTTCATTTCACCGATTTCAGTTTAAAATTTGAGTTTTATTACAATAAAATTTTTTTATAAACAGTCACATTTAATTTTTTTACTGCAGTAAAAAATTCTCACATAAAGTCACATCTCAACTTAAATTAAAAACTCGAATCACTGAACTAAACGGGCCTTAAATTACCCGGGAAAATAAGATAAAGCGTAGTTAGCAAGTTTAATTTGTGTTGTATTTTGATGCAACTTTGTTACGTAATTGTAGCTATGTGGTTCAACTTAGGGCCGTGTCGGAGAGACTATAAATTATCGAAATTGACCAATATGATTCTTTTATAGTATGTTTGGTAAAAGGATCTAAATTCCTATTCTTTTTTTTTTATAGCATATTTGGTAAAAGGGTTTAATTTTCAGTTCAAATAATTCTGGTATAGTGTTTTTTTTTCTTACAAAAATTTGAATTTAGTTTGAGCTCATAAACCAAGCTAGTCCTTAGATCGTCAAAAACTGTTTTCTTATGCTTTGTAAAAGGGTATAGTACAAGATCTAATATTTAAGGCACGGTTTAATCTTGAACCAAAGAGTTTTGATTTATATGGGTGTATATATATTTTTTTAAAATATATACATTCAGAATATATAAAACAAGATATCACATTTAAGTGCTTTTTTGGTAAGATAATCTTATTAATAATGTTAATTTTTAACTGTTGAATTAAGTTAAAACCACATCATATTTGACGGCTTAAAATAAAAAATTACTAGTAATTATATTTTTTTTTTCTAATTCTACTAGAGAAGCTCCCATTAGATTAGGATTACAATTTTGTTTTTAAAAAATTAACCAACATTCCAAAAAACTCTTAAAAAAGTGAATTAAATTGCTTTCATTTTGACCCAAAATTGATTGTAATTAACTCTTAAAAAGTGAATTAAATTGCTTTCATTTTGACCCAAAATTGATTGTAATTAACTCTTAAAAAGTGAATTAAATTGCTTTCATTTTGACCCAAAATTGATTGTAATTATACAAGGATCTGGTCTAATTTTTTTTTCGAAATCGCTGAAATAATCTGGTTTGATTACACACTCCTAGACTTAGCATCTCTTTTCTCTTGTATGGCTTCAAAATTAGGCTTTAAGTGAACCTCACAATAGAATAAAAAGTATATGCTAATGCTAAACCATACGCTAAACCAGCCCAAGGTTTGAACTTTCACCAACCTCCTCGAACCACAGATAATCTGACAAACCGGCCTCAACGCTCACACGTGTCTCTCGCACATCTCCTAATACACACACAAACCCACCCATTCGTCTGCGTTATATAACCTTCTCGAACTTTACCATTTTCCTCGCTTGATCTCACTCTTTTTTTGAAGCTTTCATCTTTGTCTTCTTCTTCGTAAACTCCAAAGCTCCGATCTTTCACTCATTTTCGTTCAAATCTCTCGGATTTTCGATCTGGGCATTCGTTTTTTCTCACTATTTTTTTTTATTTTTTATTTTGAAGCGATTGTTAATCATGGCGACCAAGAGGAGTGTTGGAACTCTGAAGGAGGCGGAGTTGAAGGGCAAGAGGGTGTTCGTAAGGGTCGATCTGAACGTCCCTTTGGACGACAACCTTAACATCACCGACGACACCAGAATCCGCGGCGCCTTGCCCACCATCCAGTACTTGATCGGCTATGGGGCTAAAGTCATTCTCTGCAGTCATTTGGTGAGCCTCTTGCTTTTGTATTTTCATTGTCGTATTGGTGGATTTCGCCTTTTTCTCCACTGTCGTTTGATGGGTATCGCTGCTTTTCTCATTGTCGTATTTGATGGGTTTTGCCTGTTTTTTCATTGTCGTATTTGATGGGTTTTGCCCTTTTTCATTCTCGTATTTATCTGTTTTGCTTATTTGTGTGATTTCGATTTGTTCACTCGTATATTTTGGGTTCAGGAGAAATATATGTTTGCTGTACTTTATCTGTGATCAAGGGTTTGTTTTCTGGAAGGTGAATTATTATTATTATTTTTTTTTAAGAATCTGTTTGATCCGTGTAGATCAGTTTCAAAGCTCACCACTCCAATTTACTTGCGTTTTTTAAAATAAATTTTAAAGCATTGCAGCTCTCTCTCTCTCAAAATTGACCGAACAAATTTCCTGTCTCTAAAGTTTTATTGGTGCATGTTTGGTTCCACAGATTTTTTCTGGGACCTATTTCGTTATTGTTTCATTTTCTTTTTTCTTTTTTGCTGAATGTAATTGTTTCATGTTTAGTCCTTTTCCAAACGTATAAATTTTGATAAACCTCGTCAAAACGATGAGGCTCTCAAGTAATAGGATTTCCTTGTATGGATGCTCGATCTTTTCTTGGAAATTGTGATACTGTTTTAATTAGGGTGTATTGCAGGTTCCATGTTTTGCTATGGATAATGTTCTGTTCAATTGTCCTTTTCTTTTCCGAGCTTGTGTTAAAGCTTATGCTTTGTGTGCTAAATGGAATTAATCTGAACATAGTTGGATCTTTAGTCCATTTATTCATTCTTATTTTCCATGTATACTCCTGCAAATTGATATTGAATGGTTCAGGAAAAAACTGTGAATCTTTCTTTTTTCCTTCTCTGATTTTGGTCAGTGGTGCTTGTGTTCTAATAATGAAGATCATCTTAAGTTTACTCCTCTTCGTTTCTCTTTTGCTTGTACCATTTGACATTTTATTTCTTATTCCAGAAAACACATAATGTTGATCTTTCCTGCAAGATTGCTTTAACACATGGTTCTGTTTTCTTATTTTCAGGGACGCCCGAAGGGTGTCACACCCAAGTACAGTCTAAAGCCTCTTGTGCCAAGGCTGTCTGAGCTTCTGGGATTTGAGGTTAAGATAGCACCCGACTGTATTGGTGAGGAAGTTGAGAAATTGGTTGCCGAGCTTCCAGAAGGAGGAGTTTTGCTTCTTGAGAACGCGAGGTTCCACAAGGAGGAAGAGAAGAATGACCCTGAGTTTGCCAAGAAGCTAGCCTCTCTTGCAGAGGTGTACGTGAACGACGCTTTCGGTACTGCCCACAGGGCCCATGCATCCACCGAGGGCGTGGCAAAGTACTTGAAGCCTTCTGTTGCTGGATTTCTTATGCAGAAGGTATGTGGCTTTTGATCTCTGTGACAACTGACAAATATTTTGATGTTGTTAAACCAAAACTTATTAAGAATCTTTTGTGTATTTTGTGATTTTAGGAACTTGACTACCTTGTTGGAGCTGTGGCGAATCCGAAGAGGCCATTTGCTGCTATTGTCGGGGGTGCCAAGGTGTCATCCAAGATTGGAGTAATTGAGTCCTTGTTGGAGAAGGTGAACCTTCTCTTCTTGGGTGGAGGAATGATCTTTACTTTCTACAAGGCCCAAGGCTATTCTGTTGGATCTTCCCTTGTGGAGGAGGACAAGTATGACCTTGCCACGACGCTTCTCGAGAAGGCCAAGGCTAAAGGGGTGTCCATTCTGCTCCCCACAGACGTGGTCATTGCAGACAAGTTTGCTCCGGATGCTAACAGCAAGGTTAGTATTTCAGTAACTTTGCATTGTATTCGATAAAAGTTAATCATGTGGGTAAAATTCTCTTATTGAGGAAAATGATTATCATGGAATTCGGATTTCTAGTTCATTAATTAAACCATTTTTGTTGAAGCTTTTGCTATTAATGCAACAACTGAACAACTATCTTATAAAGATCTTAAGAAGCATCGACATGCTTTTTTGCAGATTGTGCCAGCATCCAGCATTCCAGATGGCTGGATGGGATTGGACATTGGACCGGACTCTATCAAAACATTCAGCGAAACCCTCGATACCACTCAGACCATCATCTGGAATGGACCCATGGGAGTTTTTGAGTTTGAGAAGTTTGCTGCTGGAACAGAGGTACCGCTCTCTTTCGAGTTTGAAGCTGTTGTGCATTAATTTCACGTCGATCGCCAAAAGTAACAAAACGACTAGAGGGCAATTTTTTTTTTTTTTTTTTGAAGGTAATTGAAAGTGGACAATTTTCATGTTGTCGAATATGATGTATTTTTCCCATTTGCAGGCCATAGCCAAGAAGCTGGCTGAGATCAGCGGCAAGGGGGTGACAACCATCATCGGAGGAGGTGATTCGGTTGCTGCAGTCGAGAAGGTCGGGCTTGCTGACAAGATGAGCCACATCTCAACCGGAGGCGGGGCCAGCTTAGAGCTTCTCGAGGGGAAGCAACTCCCCGGAGTGCTTGCTCTTGATGACGCTTGAGCTCTTTGTCCACTCCTAGCTTTTGTTTTTTCTCGCTGTTTTATGCCATTACATTGGTTGGTTTGTCAACCGGGAGATAAATTTCATCTGTAGAGCTTGAACTTGTAGAGGCTATATAGAGTAGATTTGAATAAGTGTTTTTTTCTCATGGTTATCATCAAAATGAAGCAGTACTTTGGAGTTTGGAGGAATGTTCTCTTTTTTGAACAATGTTTTTAACAACTAAACTATCAATCTGTGATTAGTTGTTGATTTGTCCAATGAATTTGTTCTTGTCTTGTGCTATTCAGTCATTACCAAAAAAAAAAAAAAATCACATACACGTAATGGAACGAAACAAGGTTACAGTAGTATCAAGTATCAACCAAAATGCAAAAGCAAATAGTGGAAACCATGGCGAGGGTCATTTGATAACATACTAATAAAATGTGCCGTTTGTTAATTTAGTGAAAACGACGTATCCAGCATCCAATGGCATATGTCGTTCATTTAAAAATAAAAAAAAGAAAAAAAAGAAGAATGACAACTCACTTTGCGAATTTGAATTTTCAATTTGAGCTGAGATGTGACATTTTCTGAGAGTTTTTAATTGTAACAGAAAAAGTTAAATGTAATATTTTTTAAGAGTTTTTAACTGTAGAAATCTAAAATTGAAAACTCGAATCGGTGGAATGAACGAGACTTAATTATATGCTTGGAGGATAAAAATAAATATTTTTTGTTACATCTTTCCATTAGGATCATCAATTACGTGCACAAGTAAAAAAAAAAAAAAAAGTAGAGGAAAATAAATATTTTTTGTTACATCTTTCCATTAGGATCATCAATTACGTGCACAAGTAAAAAAAAAAAAAAAAGTAGAGGAAGAAGAAGAGACACGTTTAATTTTTATTAAATAGTAATAGTATTCTATGCATTTTTATGTTCAATTACGTATTCTTTCTTAAAGTAGAGGAAGAAGAAGAGACACATTTAATTTTTATTAAATAGTAATAGTATTCTATGCATTTTTATGTTCAATTACGTATTCTTTCTTAACTGCACAAGTAAAAAAAAAGTAGAGGAAGAAGAAGAGACACATTTAATTTTTATTAAATAGTAATAGTATTCTATGCATTTTTATGTTCAATTACGTATTCTTTCTTAACTGCACAAGTAAAAAAAAAAAGTAGAGGAAGAAGAAGAGACACATTTATAATTTTTATTAAATAGTAATAGTATTCTATGCATTTTTATGTTCAATTACGCAGTCTTTCTTAACTGCACAAGTAAAAAAAAAAAAAGTAGAGGAAGAAGAAGAGACACATTTAATTTTTATTAAATAGTAATAGTATTTTATGCATTTTTATGTTTAATTACGCAGTCTTTCTTAACTGCACAAGTAAAAAAAAAAAAGTAGAGGAAGAAGAAGAGACACATTTAATTTTTATTAAATAGTAATAGTATTCTATTTATTTTATGTGATTGTGACTCTATCTAACTGTTAAATACATATTTAATTTTCAGAAAAACACGTTATCTATACGGTTGTAGATTAAAAAAAAAGGAAAAATAAGGTCCAAATAAAAATTTAAAAAATACGGCGGCACTATTGAAATTTCTCAGAGTTAAAGCGACGTCGCTTACATTGTTCTAAAAGACTTAAATCCACGTGAGCGCTCCAAAACCCTCTTTACTTTTCAATTTTCACTTCTTCTCTTCTTCTTCTTCTTCTTCTTCTGTGTATTCTCTCATTTTCTCACCCGCCGCTATCTCTTCTCCAGAGAGCTCCACAGCCGCTGGCCCGCTTGGTCTCCAGACAGCTCCACCGCCGCTTCTTCTTTTTCTTCTTTCATCTCCGCCCTATTCTCTCTGGACTCTCGTCATTTCTCCGTTTCCCTCTCTGCAAGTCCTGCACTTTCGTTCGTTCCCACTCTCTCACTCGCACAAACTATTATGAAATTTGCCCTATAACTTCATCATTTTGACGCACAAGGCACTATGTTATTATTTTTTTTTCCGCGTTTCAATTGCTACAGAATAATTTTTTTTTCGCTAGCTCTTTTTTCTTTTTTATAGTTGTAATTTTGAAGCTAAAGTTCGAAAATTTCTTCTTTCTCAGTGCCTCTTCGTACTGTTGGCGTTTGCTTGAAGTTTTTGTTTCAATCATGTACGGAGGGGGTGAGTACTGTTAATTCCCGGTTCAAATTTCTCTCACAAATTTTCATTTTCTTAAATTTGAATTTAATTTTTAATTTCTGGGTTTTTACTTTTCTGGGATTGCAGATGAAGTTTCAGCTATAGTAATTGATTTGGGCTCTCACACTTGCAAAGCTGGTTATGCCGGTGAAGATGCTCCCAAGGCCGTCTTTCCATCCGTAAGTTTTTTTTTTTTTTTTTTTTTTTTTTTTTTTTTTTTTTTGCACTTTTACTTATTAAAATTTTGACCTTTACTGGCTCGATTTTGACAATGTGACTTAATTTTTTATTTCTTTTTAGTACTTATACGTAGATACTTTTTCTACATGGTGGTGATTGCAAATGTCATGGAAAATAAGTTCACAAAATGAAGTAATCTTGAACTGTAGTTAGCTTTTTGTTTTTGTTTTTTTCTTGTATTTTTCATGTGTTTGGCTCCAACTTTTACACCATTAGTAACTTTTAAGTTGGAAATGGAGCCATGAAATCATTCCTTTTGCCCATTCCACATCGGCAGCCTGAAAAATTGGCTGCTCGTTAAAAAGCCACTTATTTTGTCATTCCAGAACATTGGTTCTGCTAAATTGTCTTCATAAAAAGTTGCTTTCTATGCGTGTGTGTAATCTGGGCGTGTATGTGAATTTAAAGCTAACGTGGATCTATATTTTTACTTTTGCTAAGGTTGTTGGATCTATTGATCAAATGGAAGTTGATGACTCTGCAAATGCTGAAAAGAACTCTGGATCTGCCGTAGAATCTAAAAACAATGCGAAGGCTGGTGATTCTGAGAAACCCAAGGGAAGTCGGAAGCTTTATGTAGGATCTCAAGCTTTAGGATTTCGCCGGGATTATATGGAGGTCAGTTTGTACTTATTTATTTATTTACTTTGTTGCCTTTCTATCATGCTTGCAGTTTTTCCTTGTTCTATGCTCTTTACCACCGTTTGTTGTTCTATCAGGTGCTGTCACCTATGAAGGATGGAATAGTTGCTGACTGGGATCTTGTTGACAGCATATGGGACCATGCTTTCAGGTTTCTACTGATTCTTATTTGGTGTATATGATGGTGCATAGTTTTTCCTTTTCTTTTTCTCTCGGGCAATTTTGAGTTAGATTATGGGGATGCAAACGTTGGGAAACCAACATAATTTTTTGTTGTAATCCTTTCATTGTGGCTTCCATGTGTTTCATCATCTTAGCGCTCTCTCTCTCTATATAAAAGAAAAGAAAATGAAGACAATCTGGGTAAAATTAATTTTTTTATTTACTAGAAGAGCTACAAGCTTAAATAGACAAATTACATTATTAATATTTAAATTACATTATTGATTTTTTTATTACTAATTACATTTAACCACTAACTACACTAATTATGTACAACTATCATATTCCAACACTCCCCCTCTAGCTGGAGCGAAGATATTTGCATTCCCAACTTGCTTATGAGATCTTGAAACTTTGAACTCGACAGCGTTTGGTGACAACATCTACAAGTTGACAATGAGATGAAACATAGGGAGTTCAAATCAATCCTGCATAAGTGAGCTTCACAAAATATTCTGCTTTCGCTTTGACTCCAGTGCTTGGCAAAATCATTGTACTATAATATGTTACACTCAAAAGTAATCAGAAACTGATAAATACGCTAATCATCAGAAGACTTGGTCGCCTCTAGTATCGACTTGGATTGTTCTCCAATAATCAATTGAATCTTTTTAATAAAAAGCTCCATTTCAGCAACGTGTAGCTTCTTACTCTTTGCCTCTATCATCGTCCCGGTCATTGTTGCCGTCTCGCCACCGTCTACTCTAGTTCCGAAGGCCACCGTTCGCGAAGCGCGTTCATGTCGGCAGCAGCAGGATCCGTGCCCGTCTTCTCAGTGTAGTCGATCATACCCTTCAAGATAGCGATCTCTTCTTCCGCGCTCCACACCCTTTGAAAAAAGTAGCTTCTTCGAGTCATCTCCTCCCGTCCTCTTCGGCTCCTTTTCATCCTCATTTGAAACGCTATTGTCAATGTTGGAGTGGTTCTTCTTGGTCCGCTTCGTCGATTGCCTCGACGGAGTCGCCAAGGGCTTCGATATTGGCTTCTTGGCCTTCGGCAGCGAAGTCTCCTCCTTGTGCTTCACGTTCGCTTCTTGTTCGTCGTCTTTGGAGCTGGAGGCTTCTTCTGACGAGGCTTCCTCTTTGTTAGAAGAAGAAACCGCCGGGGGATCGTTCACATGGCGTGCTCACTTTAATGCCATCAACAAAGACGAGGGTTTTCACTTTTCAGATTGAAAAATTGGATTTTCGTCTTTGTTGATAACACCAAAGTGAGCACGCCCTGTGGACGTTCTCCCGGCGGTTTCTTCTTTTAACAAAGAAGAAGTCTCGTCAGAAGAAGCCTCCAGCTCCGAAGACGACGAACATGAAGCGAGCGTCAAGCGTAAGGAGGAGACTTCGCTGCCGAAGGCCAAGAAGCCAATATCGAAGCCCTCGGTGACTCCGTTGAGGCAATCGACGAAGCGGACCAAGAAGAACCACTCCAACGTCGACAATGGCGTTTCGGAGGAGGATGAGGAGGAGCCGAAGAAGACGGGAGGAGATGACTTGAAGAAGCTACTTTTTTAGAGGGTGTGGAGTGCGGAAGAAGAGATCGCTATTTTGAAGGGGATGATCGACTACGCTGAGAAGACGGGCACGGATCCGGCCGCCGCCGACATGAACGCGCTTCGCGAAGGGTGGCCTTCAGAACTAGAGTAGACGGTGGTGAGACGACAACAATGACTGGGACGACGATGGAGGCGAACTGGAAGAAGTTGCACGTTACTGAAATGGAGTTTTTTGTTAAAAAGATTTAGTTAATTGGCAAACAATCCAAGTCTTCTGATGATTAGCGTGTTTATCAGTTTTTGGTTACTTTTGAGTGTAACATATTATAGTACAATGATTTTACCAAGCACACGAGTCAAAGCGGAATATTTTGTGAAGCTCACTTATGCAAGATTGATTTGTACTCCTTATGTTTCATCTCATTGTCAACTTGCAGATGTTCTCACCAAACGCTTGTCGAGTTGAAAGTTTCAAGATATAAGCAAGTTGAGAATGCAAAATATCTTCGCTCCAGCATGAGGGGGAGTGTTGGTAGATAGTAGTTGTACATAATTAGTGTAGTAAGTGGTTAAATGTAATTAGAATGGATGTCAAGTAGTAATTAGAATATTAATAATGTAATTTGTCTATTTAAGCTTGTAACTCTTCTGGTAAATAAAAAGATCAATTTTAGCCAAATTGTCTTCATTTTTTTTTCCCAGTCGGGGCCTACAAAGCCTTTACTTGGTAATAAATTCCAAGAAAAGATGACATCACCAACGTTAGTTTTTCAGCGTTTGCACCCCCATAATCTAACTCAAAATTGCAAGGAGCCGGGCGTCGCCGACATGAATGACTTCACGAACGGTGGCCTTCGGGACTGGAGTATACAACGGCGGGGCGACGACGGTGACTGGGACGACGATGGTGGCGGGAACTGCTGCGACAGAGTTTGGACGAGTGACGGAGGTCGTTGGATTCTTGTTGATTGGAACCCTGGGTTTTGTCGGAGTACTAGGTAGCGGCGGATCTACCGATGGCGGCGTGACGAGGACTAGGTGATGACGATAGAACCCTAGGTGCGACTAACAGTGTTGGACGGAACTCCGTCACAAAGAACAGCGGAAACTCAGCAAAACGAAAGGAAGAATAACGCCTAAATGGGTCTGTTGAAGAAGGCGACAATGAATATTCTAACTACTATTGGACAACCACTTTAATCACATTTAACCACTAACTACACTAATTATGTACAACATCTTCTAACAGAAAAGAAATTATGTCTATTCATGCAATAACTTTCATTTCCAGGGAGTGTCTACTGATTGATCCCAAAGAACATCCAATGCTACTTGCAGAACCATCTTCCAACACTCAACAACAAAGAGAGAGGTAATTTTGCACTATTCAACTTTTCTTAGTTGCTACATTGCTTATGGTTTTCATTTTATTATTTTTTTATTCATAGTTTATCCTTATATCTTATGGGGTATATTATGTCTGACAGGGCAGCAGAGCTAATGTTTGAAAAGTACATGGTTCCTGCCTTGTTTCTGGCGAAGAATGCTGTATGCCCCTACTCTGGCCATCCCTTGACTTCAATTTATATTTCTTGGCTTAACTTTTTGACCATTACTCTTTCCTTCTCCTTTTGTAAAATTTACTTGCTCATTAACTAGGGATCTTTTCTTTGGTCTAGGTTTTGACATCTTTTGCATCAGGACGTGCCACTTCGTTAGTTGTTGATAGGTAGGATGTCACATGAAATTGACCGTCTTTAATTGCTTTAATTCCAACTAAATTGGATTACCATGGGTTTTAGATGTTGATATACTTGATGAGTTTCCCTTCTTTCTTCTTGGCTCTTCATTTTTTCCCTCTGTTTCTTTCTTGATTTTTGTTTATGGATGCAATGCTAATGTATGGTCGTCCACAATTATTAATTCATCTAGTGGTGGAGGATCCACGACAGTTGCTCCAGTTCATGACGGTTATGTTCTTCAAAAGGTATTTTCTCAGCTCTATCTAGTTGGCCTTTTCTTATTATTTATTATTTATTATTTATTATTTTTTTATGTTTTAATACAGCACGTCCATGTGCTTTTTTGTATTTGGAGGCATACCATATGTCAGTGAGTCTTATTTATATGAATCAGTTGTGCATTGAGTATTAAGCTTACCAAACATTAATGTGTCTGAGGTATTCTGAATATACCCGTTGCTCTTTTTTAACAACAGGCTGTGTTATCGTCTCCTATTGGAGGAGATTTTCTTGCCGATTGCTTGACGAAAAGTTTGGAGAGCAAAGGTATTACGGTAAGTGATTAACCGGACAATCATTCAAGCGGAGTAGATTGTGTGACTTTGTTAGTTTCATTTTTTTGGGCTTGCAATTTATGTTTGCATGCATCTCTTATAGATTAAACCTAGATACGCTTTCAAGAGAAAGGAAATACGAGCCGGAGAGTTTCAGGTACTATATTTTGTTTTTCTTTTTCCATTATTATGATATTATTTTTTTAGTGCAGATAATGCCTTTATTTTTATTACGTTGTTCTTTGTACTTTGATCTTCCTATTACATGTTCATTTATCTGAATGTACAGACAGTTGACGTCGATTTTCCAAATACAACAGAAAGCTACAAACTTTACTCCCAGGTCAGTTAGTGATCATAATATTTTGTTTTAGCGGGTTATTGTATTTCTTTATTTTTGCTCAGTTTTCTTTTTCAACAGAGGGTTATTGCTAGTGATATCAAGGAATGCGTGTGTCGAGCCCCGGATACTCCATATGATGGTTTGTATTCTGCCATCTTTACATTTGACTAATTATTGTTCTTCTGATTTTAATAAGTTTGTGTGTAGGGAGAGGGTTGAGGGGGAGGAGGGAGCTGGTTGTTCTTATTTTACAGTTTATAGTTTTTTTCATTTGAACATTTGTATGTTCCACGCAAATCCTTGCCAATGTTGTCCCTATAAGGAAATTTTATATTCGGTGACTTAAGTGTTATTATACAGCCATTCTAATAGTCCCTTTTTTTTTTTGGCTGCAGAAAGCGCATATTCAAATATTCCAATGACCCCTTATGAACTTCCTGATGGCCAGTAAGTCCTATTATAGTCTGGGAAAAAATTTATTAGTTAGGTTATGGTTCCTGGTATTATTTTGCGTGGTTGGAATTTTGAATTGCTGGATTACTTGTTTTTATGTTACCAATTCCTGAGTACTGACTATTTGACACCAGTAGCACTCTTTTACCATGGGATAGATGGTTTTTGATTAGTGTTTGATGAAAGTCTAGTTTTTATTTTATATGCGTAATGCAGGACAATTGAAATTGGAGCTGATAGATTCAAGACACCCGACGTGCTGTTTAACCCATCCCTGGTTCAGGTGGTGTCTTAAATCTACTAGATGCCAGTATTTCGTTTTTTCTCTGGAAATTTCTTCTTTTCTCTTTTTTCCCCTAGTAATTTCAAGTTTTGTGTTTAAATATATATGCCAGACAATTCCTGGTATGGAGTGTTTTGCAGAAACTGCTGCTTCTGTTCGTGGGTTGCCACAAATGGTAATTTCATGGCTTGTTTTAATTTCTTGCGAAAGTTCTAACCTTTTCCTTCAAAAAAAAAAAAAAAAAAATCTCTCGGTTAACCGTTTTCTTTTCTTGTCAGGTTATAGAGAGCATCAATAAGTGTGATGTGGATATTCGTAGAGAGCTATTCAGTAGCATATTGGTAAAAGTTCATACACTGTCATTTACATCTCTCCCTTGGTTTTGTGGATGACTGATAAAATATTTGTAGTATGCGCTATTACTTTTATGAGAGAATTATATAAAGGTTGCTAATGTTTTATCTTAATCTTATTACTGCTACTGAACTGGTCACACCGTTTTACAAAGTTGACCTGAAATATCTTTCATGATCTTTCTTGGAACGCATGAAATCTTCCGCACGTGCTATCTTGAATAGATTTGATATTTCTGTTTTTTCTGCTGTACAGCTTGCCGGTGGTACAGCCTCAATGCAACAGTTGAAAGAACGCCTGGAGAAAGATTTGCTTGAGGTATTTCTGTTCTTCAAGCACTCTCCTCCACCGTCTAAACATATGGATGCTGATATTTGGTTGTTCAATGACCTTTCCGAAACTTACAAGCATAGTCTATTCTAAGCTTTAATTACATATGTGGCATATTTAGCCTACTATGAATTATTGTATTCTTACGTTTTTGGTTAAGTTTTGTTTGTCTAATATGCTACATACCATCTTCATAAAGAGATTGAATATCTCATGTCACAGAGCTCTGTCATCTAAATTCAACAAATTATATATTTAGTTAAATCAAAAATGCTTTTCATGTAACCAAATATACGGTATTCTGTCAAAAATACTGAAGCGTCATTATTCAATACTTAGGAATCTCCGCAAGCTGCTAGAGTTAAAGTCTTGGCAAGTGGAAACGCAACGGAAAGGCGATTTAGGTAGGATATATTTTCTTCAGTCTTCTTTTCAAGTTTGAAGCACTATATTTCTTTTACGTTTCTTTCTCTGATGTTACACATTTTTGTTATGAAAATTGTTGTTTATACAACACATTCTTGCAATTTCTACGTCCCACCAGTCAACTCATGCTGCATTCTTTATTCCAGTGTTTGGATAGGTGGGAGTATATTGGCTTCTCTTGGTTCGTTCCAGCAAATGTGGTTCTCGAAGTCTGAGTAAGTGCAACTACTTTTGGTGGGCATACTAAACAAACAAATTTGAAGCTCGCTTAATGACAACCTGTTATGTACGTCTTTAATAGGTATGAAGAGCATGGGGCTTCTTACATTCAAAGAAAGTGCCCTTAGAATGGATGGCATACAAGGTTTTTTCTCTTATCTCGGACGACAAGATGTTGCTCGTGTCCTTCCGCAATTTCTTGAATGTTTGTTCATTCTTAAGACATGTAATTAGTTTTCTAATTAAAGCTTCTTAATGAACTAAATGCTATTAGCTATTGACTTTTTCAGGTCTTCCGTGTGTTCCACACTAACCTTTGCTAGAGTTGCTGAGGCTGTTTAAAGCTTGTGTAGTATTAGACAGATAAAGATTGTTCTAATTTGAAAATATACAGCTTCATTGTCTGATGTTGTAGCAAACTTTTTGAACTTGTAGGCTTGTAGTACAGTTTATTATTCCCTAGTTTTAGATTTATTTTGTTACTTGCAGCTCAAGTTCTTCGAAGGATACACAAAACCACATGGTTTCACTTCTGACGCTACTGGAGAAATACACCAAAACAAAAATACAAGTTTATTAAAACTCCTGTTCGAATGTGACAAATTGCGAGTCCTTGTTTGAGTCATCAGCATCCAACTTCAGACAAAAACCTCTTGACGCGAATTTGGCTAAATCTTTAGTAAATCAGTGACATGGCCAGCTCGTTGAACTTGAAACCTGATTTAATTAAACTAGGGTCCCGTTTGGTACCATATATTTGAACTCATGATTTGAATTTTACTGCAGTATTTTTTCTCACAAAGAATTTGAATTTAAAATTTTTTTGTCTTACAAAGTTCTCGTTAATGAATAAGAATCACTAACTTCAATGTGTGAACAAAACGAACCGGTGAAGGAATTCATTGCACCTATGGTCCAACTAATTAGGAGAGAATCAATAGATTCTTTTTCGGGAGCGATTTATCCTAACCAAACGGACCTTAGATGGTTGAAATAGTGAGTTATATATAGACCGTATTAATTTACAATCCGTATTAGTTTATAAATTATGATGGTCACATTAAACATCATATTATTATACTATTATTCAATACGGTGTTTTAATACTGTCAAACAATCAAACAAACAAACAAACGTGTACTAAATTTAATAATACATTGTAAAAAAAAAAAGGACAAGCACATCAATCCGATTCAGACGTTAACTTGACAAAAATAAAAAGAAAATTTGATGCAATTGACTAGTTCTTAGTTTTGTCGTGTATTGTAAGTTGATCTTAGACAATGACTGATGCACGGGACAATGCGCTAGACTTTTTGGCTCCAAATTTTCAGGTCATCAGAAGTCATTCCTTTTTCCCTTTTAATTTTTATACTTGTAGAATGAATTATGATTTAGCTGTGAAATTGTTTTCCAGGAATGACTACAACTCATCAAGGTGATTGTTGATGACATGTTAAGAAAAACACCGAGTACCGTGAACTTACGGGTGCGTTTGGAACTCGTTCTAAAATAATTTTATTTTTTATATAAAAATAGAAATGAAAACGTTTTTAATCTCAGACAGAAATCATTTTTAAAAATGTGTTTGGTAGTTTTATCAAGAGATTATTTTCAGTATAAATAAACTCATTAATGTCTATCTCTCTCTGCTCGAGAGATGAAAAACGAAAATAAAAAATAAAAAATGACTAAAAGTTGTTTTTCATTTCTCTCATATTTTATACTAAACTAAAAAATCGTTTTCGTTTTTATTTTCGTTTTTTATCTTTAATTGTGCCAAACTCCGTTTTGAAATCGTTTTCATTTTTTCTTTCTCAAAACATGTGAAAAACAAAAACAAGAACAATTCTAAACACGGCATACATGTCCAGCCTAGCCTGTTGGAATGTACTTTCGCATGCAAGAAGTTAGATCATTGTTAAAGCTTGGTTTAGATGATCATGAAGTTCGTTTTGTGGGCATATTTGGGATGAATAGAGTGGGCAAAACAACCTTAGCCAAAGCCATTTATAACATATTTCATTCTGAATTTGGTAGTAATAGAAGTTTTCTTGAGAATATTAGACAGATATGGGATCGACCACATTGTAGGGTTCGCTTGCAGAAACGACTTCTATGTCATATCTTAAGAAAGAAAGTAGATTGGGTAGATAGTTTTGATAAAGGAATCCGGGTAATAAAAGATACAATTAGTGGCAAAACCGTACTTGTCATTGTTGATGATGCAGATCACGGGGACCAATTAAACGCCCTCGCCGGAAGTCGTGATTGGTTTGGTCCAGGTAGCATAATTATTATAACAAGAAGAAATCAGCAGTTACTGAAGGAGCTTAATGTGGATGCTACATTTATGGTTCCAGAAATGAACGAAATTGAATCTCTTGAGCTCTTTAGTTGGCACACCTTGGGGGAAAGACAATCGAATGAAAAATACATTTGAGCTTTCAAAGAGTGTAGTACATTATTGCGGAGGTTTGCCATTAGCTCTTTCGGTTTTAGGTTCATACCTTCAAAGCATGAGTACTCCATCAATGTGGATTAGTACAGATACTATGCAAGTGAAATTCATGAGAGTGACTTATTCTTACGCTGACCGTCAACCTACCGCAACCCTCCTCCTTTACTCGGGCTTGGGACCAGCTATACAAACGCATAGGCGGAGTTATCAATCTGGATTAGTGAAATAGATAAATTGAAAAAAATTCCACATGAGAATGTTTTGAAAAAGCTCAGAATAAGTTTCGATCGATTAAATGATGACACAGTGAAGGACATTTTCCTCGATATATCTTGTTTCTTTATTGGCATGGACATGAACTATGTTCAAGAAATTTTAGGCGGATGTGGTCTTTATGCAGAAACTGGACTTCGGCACCTCCTTATAACTGTAAGTGAGAGAAACAAGATCATGATGCACGATTTGCTTCGAGACATGGGAAGAGCAGTTGTTGAGGAAAATTTGACGAATAGACCCGAGGAACGAAGTAGATTGTGGTTTCATGAAGACGTACTTGGGGTATTGAAAGATGAAATGGTAAGAAACTTTCTCAAATATGTCTGTTTCTTTACATACAAATGATTGAAGGGAAACAATATTATATGCATTCCTATGTCTTTGAAATATTTTCCTCTAGTTTTTCTGCAAAATTTTAAGGATGCATGTCTGACCTTGGAACCAAATAAGTTGTTGCTTTGAAAACAAAATACACATAATTATAACATATAAAAGTGTTCATATGGTTTTCTCAAATCTTAATCAATACATGCAGCCTCTTTTTCTTATCTTGTGCTCTACTATAACAGGGAACTGGAAGTATTGAAGGACTTCTTCTAGACATGGAAAGAGTTGAGAAGGTTAGTTTCACTACAAAAGCATTTGTGCAGATGCAGAGACTAAGATTGCTACAACTTAATTCTGTACAACTCACTGGAAGCTATGAATAGCTTTCAAAAAATCTAAGATGGCTTCGTTGGAATGGATTCCCTTTGGATAGCAATCTCAGGCAGGTCTGGGAGGATCCTCAGGTACGATAGAATAACAATGCATAAGGAATGAAGTTGTTCATAGTGAAGTAGGTGTAGCACTAATAGAGTATAAGGTGCGCAAATGCCGCTTGAGGTGGTATGGGCATGTCCAACGTAGACTGCTAGAAGCACCAGTTTGTGCTTGGGAGGACATTCTTATACCTAATATTAGGAGAGAGAGGGGTAGACCAAGAATTACATGGACCGAAGTAGTTAGGAATGACATTCTAGATTTAGGCCTTCAGGAAAGTCTAATTTCGAATAGAACTGCGTGAAAAAGTGAAATCCATATAGCCGATCCCAATTAAGATAGATTAAGGCTTCTTCTTGTTGTTGTATATGTACACACACATATTACATTGATAATATGTACATACGTATGAATATACATGCATATTGCTCTTAGCAGTATCATAATGTTTCTATTCAAATTTTATTTGCCTGTTACAGTTGCTAAAGGAGTTGAAGATCCTCAATCTCAGTCATTCAAACTACTTAACCCAAACTCCTGATTTTTCAAATCTCCCTAATCTTGGGCAATTAATACTAAAATGTTGTACGAGATTGTCTAAGGTTCACCATTCAATTGGAAATCTCGAGGGGCTTGTTTTGTTAAATTTGAAAGACTAATGAAATGCTTAAGAAGCTTCCCCAAAATTATTCTGTCAAAAAAGAGTTTCCAGCTGAAATATTTGTTTCAAAAGCTTTCAAAAGAACAGTGACATCCTAAGTGGTTTAATTAAGGGGACCTCTATTACCGGAGATCAGAATGATCACTTGGTTGGCGATGGCCATATACTAGTAGCTTCTTGTCCAAAATTAGGAACCACTTGGTTGAAATCTCTGTTTTACACTCTCTAAAACTCCTTTGCTTATATCTAACCCCCATGAATCGTGATCTTGCGCTTCATCGATGTCAACATTCCTCAACCAAGACTCCTTTGCATCCATACTCCTTATGTATCCTTGCCATCATCCTTGAAGAATTCCAATTGTAAAAATTGTCTTATATATTTGTAGGAATCCAATGGAACAATTTGTATCCCTTTGGAAGATTCTTCCCAATATATTAAAGGCAAATATTCTCAGAGAGGTGCGATTTTGTTTAGAGATCTATATAAAAGTTTGAACTCAGAAGAGAAAAAAACAGAAGAATAAGCTAAAAATATAACTTCAAAATTCAAGTGCTAATTCTTTCCCATGAAATAGAATGACAGACTGTGAGGAAATTGGAGAAAGCGACAACTGGGAGGAAATTGGGATTCGATTTCTGCAAAAGAACCAAAGGAACAAAGCCAGAAACCGAAAGGAAACAATCAGAAGAACAAAGAATTACCGAATCCGATTGATCCTACATCCAAGGCAGGATCCAATCCACTAATCAGGAAATTCAATACAGGAACCCTTAATTACAAGAATGTCTGACAATTTCTCTCAGTTTCTTAGGAAATAATAATTAATCTTCACAAGTTCTAAAGTACAGCCCAGAAATTCTCTCAAGAATATTTTTTTTTTCTCTCAGCCCTCTCGTACGAAAGAGTTTGCAATGCAAATAAGTTACTATTTAAGATACATCACAGCCAATAGGGAAGTGCCACGTGTAGAAGTCCTCACCTGTTTGTTATGACCACTTGTTAGAGACATTGCGACCCAACAAATTGGCAAAAAGGAATAAACAAAGAAACCTGACAAGTCTCCAGTGGTTGGAAGTTCCTGTTTCTGTGGATCCGCTTATCAATGGAGGAAATTGTTGGTCATCAAAGCTTGTGTAATATTAAACAACTGAGATAGCTCGTTTTGAACTTAGCCATTTGCATTTTCCACATTAGAAAATACGCAATTCCAGGGCAAAACATGTGCCACAAAGGTGACATAAGCTTTGAACAAGCTATCTGATCAGTGGTTTAATACTACAAACGAGCTTTGAACCAGATTTAACGATTCTGCCGAAGTAGTTTGTGAAGCTGAAAGCCGAAGATGTTAATGCTACATATATATATATATATATATATATATATATCGAGATCAAATCCATAACTTTTTACTAAAATCCCACTCCATCTAAATCCCTAGTGTCACTAAGAAGATGTTTGGTAGAGAGATTCGTTTCCTAATTCAAATCATGATTCTTGATTCGCTACAATATTTTCTCCCATAAAAAATACACGTAAATCGAAAATGATTCGAATCAATCCTCCAACCAAACGTCCTCTAAATCAAATGGTTTGTTGTATTTTAGACTAGGGAAAAACAAAAGGAAATTTTTTCATAAGAACTTTTGTTAAAAAAAAAAAAAAAAAACTTGACTTTAGGTGGAATAACGAAAACTAGTTAACTACAGAGCATGTTTCCTTACAAAGGCAAAAATATTTATATCTTATATTAGTACCTTTTTTTTTAACCAACTATACTTGCGTATGTCCAACGTTTAGCATTATATTATATGTAAGTAGTCAGTATTCACATTATTGATAATCATTAGCGGCAATGTATATCTCAAGCTCGTTTAGTTTGATGATTTGAGTTGTAATTTTATGTAAGATTTTTTTATTATAATAAAAAAAATTAAATGTGATTATTTATTAAATAATATTTTTGGTTTTTGACTTCTAAAACGTTGGAGAAAGAATCTCCAAACTAGAAAGTTGTCCCAAACTAATCTTTCTGCTCATTCAACTGCCATAATCTCAATGGAAAAGGGAATAACTTCCTTTTGTAGTTGTGTTTTAATATGTAAAATTAAATAATTAACAGCACATAATCTTCTCATGTATTTTTTCCGTTGAAATTTAACGGTTGCGTTTAAAAAATGACTAGTAGGGCCCGTTTAATTTTCGAGTTTTTAATTCGAGTTGAGATGTGATGAGAACTTTTTACTGTAGCAAAAAAAAAAAAAAAAAAAAAAAGAAAAGATGTGACTGTTTCTGAAAGATTTTTACTGTAGCAAAACTCGAATTTTAAACTCAAATCGGTGAAGTGAACGGGGGTTCTAATAAATCACAAACTTCATATACACATCTTACATCAAAATAATTTTTTTTTTTTTTTTTAAAGAGAGTAGTACTACTAATCTTTTGTCCTCTCTTACTAACATTGGCAACACGCAACACCTGAATCAAAAGAGGCCTATACTTTTTTTCTTTTTTTTTTTTTTTTCCTTTTCCTTCTCTTGTTCTGTGGTCTCATTACAGAAATCTTTAGTGCTCATATCGCATACATATTTCACTCGTCTTTTCCGCTTGTTTCCTAAAATATAACTAACTCCTCTTATCTTCTTTTCGATCAATCTCAATCTTGGTTTTACCAAATAATTGTTTTTTACTATAAAGATTTTTTCTTTTCTTTTTCTTTTCTGTTATATCTACTCTCGATAGTCTTCTTCCAAGGACGGGATGTATAGAGTATCTTTTATTTTGGTTCTATATGTTCTTGATTCATGACTATGATCATCAACTTAAAGGGTGAAACAAAGTGTGCGCGCGCGCGCTCGTGTGTTTGAATCTTTTGACTTCTAATTTTCATTATTTAATAGTTGCTTCTGGTTTCTTTTTTTTCTTTTTTTTTTTGCTTTTTTTTTTTTGAATTGTTGGTTACGGTTGACTCTCAAAACTGTCGCTCACGGTTTATGTTTTTGGTGTGGGTTTAGAGCATCTCTAATATTGTAGTGATAAGGCCTCGTTGACTTCGTTGATTCGAGTTTAGAATTCGAGTTGAGATGTGATTTTATGTGAGAGCTTTTTACTGTAGCAAAAAAGTTAGATGTGTTGTTTGTGAGAGCTTTTTACTGTAGAAAAACTCGAATCAACGAAGTGAACGGGGCCTGTGTATTAATATCAAATTTAGGGCCTGTTCGGTGAGGCAATTTTTGAGTGAAAAACTCAAATAAAAGTAACTCGAGTTATAACTTTATTCGAGTTCATGTTCTTTTAAGTTTGAACTCGAGTTTGAACTCAAGTTTAAAACTAAAACTCGAGTTCAAGTTTTCCCTTCAACTCGAGTTCAGAAACTCGAACTCAAGTTAATGAACAATATTTTTTCTATTCTTAAAAATGCTATAACTTTTTCGTTTTAATTCTGATTGAGATGATTTTTTTTTCTATGCGTTGACAACGAAAATACGAATAAAACTAGACCCATATACCCTATTAAAATTTTTCATCAGCATTGATTTTTTATTAAAATACTATCTAAAAATAAATTCAAGTTTTGACTTAATTAAACACAAACTCAAAAAAGATTCTTATCTCAAACCATAACTCAAAAGTTCACAACCAAACACAAACTCAAGTTACAACTTCAACTTAAGTTATAACTCAAACTCAACTCAAAATTTACACTCAAGTTACCTAACTCAAAAACATAAAAGAACAAGCCCTTAAACATTTGAGTAAGAAAATCGCTCACTAAGTCAAGCATGTAAAAGCAAAGTCCTATTTGTTAAGTTATTGTTGTTGTTATGCTCAGATAGTTGATCTTGTTGGACTTTGAAGCGTCTATAATAGTGCATAATCCAGAAATCAATGTTCAACTTTTATTTGGAATAAGATTCACGCAACATGAAAGGAGAAAATATCATATTAGAAATATTATGAAATATTTTTAATATCTCGACGGATTGAGTAATTATGTAACTTACTCTCTGACAAATAATAAGAGAGATACTTTATAAATTTTGTGTTTACTCCTTTTATGATAAGTGTGGCTATAAGTAGCTAAATAACAAAGCACAAATTAGAAAACGAACGAGTGTGACAAAAATTTGTTGAAACTCTATCAAGGTTTTTTTTTATTTTTTTTTCTCTCTCCTATTATTCCATAGGTTCTTGAGTTGTGGATTTGTCGTGGTTGTTCGAGCTTTGCCTTTGTAATAACCACGCATACTGTGAGCAATCAAGGACGTGATGATGATCGTGATTATGGAGGATCGTGACTTGGAGCATGAAGATCATGTTAGGAAATTTTATTTCCTATTATTTATTGTGGGCAACATATTAATTGACAATTATATTACCGTTATTTAAATTAATTGGACAAATCAAGTGGTTAATTTAGAAAAGTCTAAAAAGTTTCCTAGACAAATAGGTAAATACCAAATATTGACCTAATTAGATTTAATGGGTGCTTAATGGGACAATATATTAAAGAACTCATGGTTATGGTCCCTAATACGTCAAATCATTCAGCCGCTTTCACTCTTCCCTATCTAGAGAGAGAACACCCGTTCAGGACTCTAGTGATTTGACTGAGAAAGGCGATAACCCCAAGAACGTATTAAAGTAGTGATTTTTATTGGAGATTAAGATTGCACCAATAAAGACAAATATTTATTCTCACTTATCTTCAATATCTCTGATAAAATAATATGTACTTTGGTTCATATGATTTTTTGACTATGGAATTTTCTACATGCTTTATTTTGTTGAGAAAAGCATGCTTTATGATAATCATATGAATTTTTTGGCCTTCAAATCCCAACCTCTAGTAAAACCTAATTCAAGGTAAAAACAAAGTAAATGAAGTTCTAATCTTAAATAAAACTACCAACTAAATAATGTTTGACGAGCATGATTAACGGCAATAATGGACTATAGTGCTGGATAATATACGTGTTTATAATTATAGGCCTTCAATCCTAACCTCTCTAGCAATAATAATTCAAGTTGGAAAAAAAAAATCGTAAACGAAATATCACAAAATAATAACCATTATTCTAAATCAAATAAAGCCAACGGCCTTATATGGATAACATACAAGGTACTATGGGCCCGTTTAGTTCACTGATTTGAGTTTTTAATTTGAGTTGAGATGTGATTTTATGTGAGAGCTTTTTACTGTAGCAAAAAAGTTAGATGTGATTGTTTGTGAGAGTTTTTTACTATAGCAAAACTCGAATTCTAAACTCGAATCAACGAAATAAACGGGCCTATATTAATGCGAAAAACTGAATTAGAGCACAAAGGAACGCTTTTATCTTATAGCTTGTTTATTTAAATTTTTAAGTAGGCTGCTAAGGATAATAGAATAAATTTTTAAATAGCTGGGTTATTCCTTTTTTTTTTTCCCCCGCTTATTACCATTCAACTTAGCTTACCCCTTTTATTTAGATATTATAATTACATAAGTTTTAGATTCAAATTCAAGTTGTGTATATATATTTCCTTGTAATATCTAATTACTTAGATAAGCTAAATCAAATTGTGTATGACTTCTAAATTAGATATTTAAGGATGTTTGTGTAATTTCGAAATGATGTTAGAAGTTGAAGATTGTTTACTCATATTGCAAACGATTGTTTCTTTTGATCAGCTTCAAGAGTTCCTGAAGCAGCCAAACTTGAAGGTACAGCCATAAATAACATAGAATCTCACCCTTTTAAATGGTTCCCATTATTCAATTGATTCACAAGGAGTTGTCAAAGATTTATCAGTCTTTATCAGCAACCAAAAAGTTACATGCTTTGATCATCAAGACCCAACTCTCCAGTGACCCGTTTTATGCCACTCAAATGGTTAGAATTTATGCCATTCATGGGGACCTTTGTTCTGCCCGTAACGTGTTCGACGAAGGTTCCATTCGAAGTGTCTACCTTTGGAACTCCATTATCCGAGCCCACGCACAAGCTCACCAATTTTATGATGCATTTTCTCTGTTCAGAAAGATGTTGGAGACTGATATTAGCCCCGATAATTTTACTTACGCTTGTGTAATACGTGCCTGTTCTGAGAGATTTGATATGCATGGACTGAAACTTTGCCATGCAGGTTCAATAGTTTCTGGGTTAAAATCAGACTCAATTTGTGGTAGTTCACTTGTGACGGCTTATTCAAAACTAGGCCTTGTTGAGGAAGCTAGTAAGGTGTTTTATGGGATAAGGGAACCAGATTTGGTTATGTGGAATTCCATGATTTCTGCTTATGGGAATTCTGGATTTTGGGATAAAAGTCTAGAACTCTTCAGTAACATGCAAAACAGTGGGACGAAGCCAGATGGGTATGCCCTTGTTGGTTTGCTTTTGGGCTTATCAGATTCTACGTCGATGTATATTGGCCAAGGAGTGCATGGTTTTTGCTTAAAGACTAGTTTCGACTCCAATGCTCATGTGGGCAGTGCACTAGTAACCATGTACTCAAGATGCAAGTCCATGAGTTATGCATATAAAGTGTTTAGTGGAATTTCTCAACCTGATTTAGTTACATGGTCAGCTTTGCTAACTGGGTATTCTCAATCAGGAGAGCGTGAAAAAGCATTACTTTTCTTCAAGAAATTGGTTTTGGTAGGCAAGAAGCCAGATCCTGTTTTGAGTGCTAGTGTGTTGGCTGCTGCTGCTCAGATGGCAAATGTTAAGGTTGGTAGTGAAATTCATGGCTATGTTCTTCGGCAGGGACTTGAATCAGATGTCATGGTTTGTTCTGCTCTCATAGACATGTACTCAAAATCTGGTTTCTTGGGATTGGGAATCCGGGTTTTCGATATTATGCCAGAGAAGAATATTGTTTCATACAACTCATTGATATTAGGCTTTGGTCTCCATGGACTTGCTTCCCATGCTTTTCAAATGTTTGAAGAGATACTAGAAAATAGACTAGTTCCTGATGAATCCACTTTCTCTGCTCTTCTTTGCGCGTGCGGCCATGCCGGCCTTGTCGAAGATGGAAAATTTTTGTTCAGAAGAATGAAAGAGGAGTTTGGAATCCAAGCCAGAACTGAACATTATGTTCACTTGGTGAAACTTCTTGGCATGAATGGAAAGTTGGAAGAGGCTTATTATCTAATCCAGTCTTTGCCAGAACCTATTGAACATGGCATTTGGGGAGCCCTTTTATCATGTTGTGATGCTTGTGGAAACTTTGAGTTAGCAGAAGTTGCAGCAGAAAGACTAATAGAAAGTAATACCAAAAGGGCTTCCTATAAAGTCATGCTTTCTAACATGTATGCTGGTGATGGGAGATGGGATGATGCAAGGAAGGTGAGGGAGAGTATGAGAGAAGGCAAAGTGCGGAAGATGCCTGGGGTTAGCTGGATTTAAGACAATAATTCCCTTTAATCACTTCAAACGTTTCATACATTTTTGATTGAATCGTCAATCATCTTCATGTCAGGTTTCACACACGCATTGCAAGGTCAGTAAAATGCCTGAGAGTCTGATTAACAAGTTCCAGCAATTATACAAGCCCTCTTTGTTAATAAGGAAAATCTTTTAGATATTTGTTAATTTGCTTATATAATGATCTTGTTCTGTGCACATGTATTTGCTGTTCATTTCTAAAGATTAGAATGAAATGGTCCCTTTTTTTCTTTTTTGAACAGATGAATATAAAAAAAAAGAAGAAATAAACACTTTCTGAGATGTCAAAAGAAATATCTATACAACAAACTGATGATATTTTTCATTGCTAAAATGGCATCTCCTCAAAGACACCATGACAGGAAAAAGGCCAAAAGAGAAGGAAAGGAAATTATGAAAACTTTTAAGTGACAAGATTAAAGAGCTATTTATCTAGTTGCAAGAGATGGTGGCTTTTTGCTGGGGAACTTGGCACTCTTGGTGTTGGATTCTCCACCACCTTGTTCATCATCAGCGTGACGGTGTAGCTAAGGCTGAGTGGTGGGGTCCTCATTCTCATCTTGAACAACGCTAGCAGCCTTTTGAATGTTGTGAGCACTTGAGAAGAGATCAACCGGCTCAGAATCAGCAAGCTTCCCTCCTTCCAGTGGAGTGCCATGCTTGTAAGCCACTCTCACGGCTTCATCCTCGTTTAGCCTTGCCTGTGCTGTGAAATACTTTATGTCATCCTTACTCTTTGTCCTCTCTCTCTCTCTCTCTCTCTCTCTCTCTAAAGTCTTTCATGTTCTCATGTGCTACCTCTCATGAATATAAAGCCATGTTGGAAGTATCACGTGGCAGGTTCTCCAGGAAATGATGACACGTGTATTTTGGTGTGCCACGTTGTCTATTTTGGTGACTCCGAGTCTTACATACACCAATTGATGTCACAAGCTTGAATTTTGTTGGAAGTGGAATTTCTGAGCATTGCTAGTTTCCATATTGGTTTACTCTGCCTTTTCGATTTAAAAAAAAAATCATGGTTTACTCTCCCTAGCAATTGTGGTTTATGGCTTATTCTTAATAACATTTATAAGCATTGTGCACAAGTTAATACTTGAGGCCGTTTGGTATGCCACAAATTAGGAGATGAGTGTAATTTTGGATAAATTAAACTCACAAGTAATGTTTGTTTTTTTTCTCTTTCCCCAATTTAGAGTCGCCTAGAACCTCCTAAAAGAGTGAATTTTAGCTTAATTAAAACAGGAAATTATGCATTCCTGCAGAGTCTCCTTCTGGACCAAAAAGAATAGTCTGAATTTCTTGATAATCAATAAAATGCAATTGTTTGCAAGTGAACATTTCGTGCTCTTTGTTTAAAAAAAAAAAAGAAAAAAAAAAGAAAAAAGAAGCTGGATACCCTCAAGCGAAGCACACGAGAAATTTGTTACAGTGCCTACAACCACATCCTCCAATATAAAAGACGCGTTGAATTATAATACATAGTTTATAGAGCATTTTTTTAAAGTAATCATATAATTTTAGTAACAATCAATATCTTTAGATGAACAGGACACCATTGTCATGCACAATTATAAATAATACTTTAATTTATGAAAATTTAATTTATCTTAGCTGATATTCATATATAAATGTGTATATATGCATAAATTTAATATTTTAAAATATAGTTGGTGATTGATATATTTAGAATTTGGTTTGTTTTGTGTAACCTCTGGCTTTAGTTTAAATTTATAATAAATTTCTACTTCACATTTCTTTTAAATTGCTATAATTCTGAAATACATTATTTTATTAAATAGATAATGTGACGGGTATAAAAAAGACTCCTCTAAAAGAAGAATCATCGACTCTAGCTCTGCCTCTCTTTAAGCGGGAATGGGATAATTTTGAGAGGCAAGGATGGGTAATGGGCATAGGTGAAAGTTGGCCCGGCCTGAGATCCAACACTGTTAGTGCGGTCTTGGCCCGGCCTAGCCAACTTAAGTGTTCGAGCAGGACAGGTCCGGCCTCAACCCCTGGGCCGAGTCTAACCGAAGTTTTCATACATAAAATCTTATCTAGGTCTTGTTGGTCTGGCCTGAACACAACATTTCTATAAATATTTTTTTAAATGATACCATGTAAAATTTGGCTCGGCCAAAGCTAAGACTGTTGGGTCTTAGAGCCGGCTCGGTTCAACCTAAATTCCCATTTGAGCCATTAGGTACGGATCAGTCCAGATCGAGCGGTT